AGGGGGCAGGGGGGTTTTTTATCTATTTTGGGGGGGGGGGGGGGGGGGGGGCGTGTAGTCAGCCTGGTGTGCAGCTCTTGCATGTGAGGTATGCCTCGTAAACATGTATGGCAGCGCTGAGCGTCAGGCCTGGGTGGCGGGGCGTCAAGTGTAGCGATGGCAAGGTTGGCGGTGCCGTGGGCTATTATAGGTAATGGTCAAGGTGTGAGAGAGTTTCGGCTTTGCACCCTTTGAGAATGTCGCCCATTAGATGACAGAACGACACGTTGGCAGGCCAAGTCTTGGTGTGATAAACTCGTTTGCTTCCCTGTACCCCGTTAGGGTAACACGGGAGCGGATGCTTGCAGCTGGGCAAACAATTTCGTTTTGGTAGTTCTGTGCTTCCGAAGTACTACAATATGTAGATCGTGAGACGCCGGCTCCGCCCCCGGTGCGGCCGTTCAGGTTTGTGGCTTTCCCTCTTTCCGCGGCCACGTCGCTCGACGGGAGCGTTTTTTCAGACAACAGCAGCAACACGTATCGATCGGCATTCCGTTCTCAACCATGCGCCTCACTCACTCCCTGTCAACCAATCAACCAATCAACAGCCGAGAAAATCTGGCACCGCTGCAGCAGCAGGAGCAACGGCTGCAACAATGGGTCTGAGCGAACAGAAACACGACCAAGGCCACCACCACGGTCGGGGGGGCACGCGGAAAACCCGGCGTCCTTCGCGGGCGGCGGCCACCAGGGGGGATGATTCCACGTGCCCGCCGGGGTCTACCCCGACCGGCGGCGACACCGAGGGGGGGTCGAGGGGGGAGGGCTTCCGGTATTTTGGAGAGGGGGGGAGGGGTGGCGACGGGGGAAAAGTTGACGTTGACGGGGATCTCGAGAGCGAGTCGCAGTGGACGGTCGGGACTGTCACTTCACGAGGGTGAGGATGTGTGGGGTAACGATGGGGTTGGAGAGTTTGGAGTGAGATTTGGAGGTCCTTTGTACGGCGTGGTCTTGGTTGGTGAGGGGTGGAGGGCTGGGATGGTTCAGGCCAGAGGTCGTTGAAAGATAGGGGTCGTGTGACGCGTGATTTGAAACGATGTGTCGAAGAGAGTGTTGGTGGCGGAAAAATCCTCCCTTCTGTACAGCACGCTTGCTTGTGTTGGCTGCCAGCCATTGCGAGATGACGCTACACACGATGGTGGAGCAGCGCGTCGCCGAGCAACCTGACAAGTATAAGTATCACACCCTCCCTCTCTCCCCCCGACGAACCTGCTCCGGTGAGAAACCGGCGTGCTCCGTCCCGACTTTGTAGGGATGCACGGCTATGACTACATACCCCCTCGCTTCCCTGACCGACCCCCCCCCCGTACTGCCTCTTCCAAAACGCCAGGGACGTGCTTCGAACTCCCACCGAAGATCAGGTAGATATCGGGAGCAGTGTGGTGGTCGGGGGTGGCAAAGGGAACGTCCGAAAGGCCCCTCACAAGCACGCTGGCGGTGGTGGCGGCGGCGGCGGCGGCAGATCCTTGTCTTCTTCGGGGGTGCCAGCGTCACCCCCGAGGCGAAGGGTGCGGAGCACTGGTGATGCAGCCAGAAGGGCGGGCACGGGGACGTTGGGTTTCGAGGAGACGCTGGCCCCCAAGGTGCGAAAGTAGAGTGATGAGAAGGGGTGTGCTCATTGGCGTGCATGTGATAAGAAGGCGTGGGGGTGGAGACAACAGTGCTACTGTAGATAGATTCCCTACTATAGTACAATTATCTCGCGTCCCTAGGATTGCGTGCACTCATGGAGTATACGTTAGATTTATGCGAGATAATTGCGTTGGACTTCAGGTAAAACGCGGGAACAGGTATGTTTGCGTGCAAACGAGAACATGGCAGCAGTAAGTATCTTCCCACGATGCCGCATGATTACGGAGAGTGCTTCTTGCGGGCTGAGACTACAAGAGAGCACCTTGTTTCCTCGGTGATTCTGGAAGACCCGCAGTCCAGAGCAATGCTCTCTGTGCCCCCCCCCCACCCGACCCGGCCCCGCGCAGTCTTTCTTCTACTTCCTAACTTTAGAAGGACCTAGCGGGGTGGAAGAAACAAAACGAACAAGCGCCTCACCCCGTATTCGAAAAGGAAGTTTGATCCCGTCTCGCTTGTATTGGCTTATAATGAGGAGCCTTGTCTAGCGGGAAAACACAGTTGTGATGAACACGGGTATAGGTGTCCATACACCCATGTTCCGCCGCAAACACACAAGGGACAGCGTACCAGAAGATGAGAAGGGATTGGACCCGTCTGTGTCGATGGGGTTCCAGCCCGGTGTTCTCCGATTTCCGTGTGGAAGGCTGCTGCTGCTGCTTCTCGTATGTGAACCCTCCGTTTTCAACGTTGATTTCGACCTTTTCGATTTCGGTGTCGCCGCTAAAGGGGGGGCGACGGGGCTCCGTGAGGAGAGGGCTGTCGCGGGGGGATACCCAGGCGTCGCATGCTTGCATCTACCGGCACAAGCACAAGGGACGGACGCCGTCTCGCGTCGCCAACCCCAAGGTACAGTGTTGCATGCCGGCTAGCGAAAGCACGAGTGTTCAATTGTGTGTGGCTCTTAGTTGTGTCGGCAGAATTAGCAGCGCTGTCTGCATATATCGGCTTGAGAAAACACGAGGGTTGAATTGAGCTTGGCGCATTGGGAAGTCGGCAAAAAGGTCGCAGGCTTGTACGGCAACTTGAGAAAACACAAACGTTCAATTTATGGGTGGAGCCTTGATGTGTCGGTAGACTTAAACCGATTCAGCGGGTTGTTGCTTGTTGCTGCTGTTGTTGCGTGTCGTTTCTGCGAACGGATGCGGATAGATCGCTTTTCGTGAGATTACGAGGTTACCGTTCTGCAAATTTTGGACCCACATCACCAGACTCCGGCTTACATCAGGCACGTGTGGAACGTTTTCTGTTGGCTATCTATGATACAACTTCGAAGAATAGGGAAGAGGAGACACTGGGAAAAAATCAGCAGGAAATTTTAGTATAGCATGACCAATAATCCACCTACATGGTGCATGTTCATTCGTGACCATTCTTGACGGGGTTTTGCCTGCGGCACTAACCCCTCTCACTTGACACAGACACCCGCGCTTCTCCATAGAATGCGAATACTGTACGGGAGTAACCCTCGTGGTACAGTAGCTCTAAAATATATAGAATACGGTGTACAAGGAACCCTGCTTCGCATCCGAAGGGGGTGGTACATGATCAAGTTTCAAGGGCAAGCAACGAACTGAAAGTTCCCTCCCTGCTTTTTGCGCCCGCCGCCGCCGCGCATGTACGTACGCCTCCTCCGTTCCGAGAGAGTAGGCTCGCCGGCCCGTGCAAGCGGCGCACGACCCCATCCTCGCTAACACCCGCTGGCCCCCGCCGGTGGACGTTCCAGCTCAAGAACGCACGGAGCAGAGAAGCGCTTACTCGTTGGAGCACTCCTTCCTAGCCTACGACTAGAACGCTCCCCCGCCCCCCTAAGTGAAATAAATCACTTGGGCTTGAGCTTGGTTTTTAGGGGTCGGAGCAGCAACAGCGGCGATGGGGCTTCGAGCGTGCTACGGGGTGTGCCGGTACAAGAGAGGTTTTCCTCGCGGAATGATGTTTGGGGTGAGGGGTTTGCGTGGGGGCATGGGGTTGGCTGTGCTTGCCGACTCGGCGAATAACGCCACGCATTGGTGCTGGACAAACCCCGCCATGCGGCCCAGGGTAGGGGCGAGTTCTCCCTCCAGCACTCCTTCCTACCTATCGATGTACCGCACGAAAGGTGCAGCAGTAGTTGGATTCACGGTTTTGATTTATTTTTGGTGGCTTTCAACGCTACATGCGTCGGGGGAGAGAGCAAGGCGCTTCTGATGCGAGTTGAATCTGGGGGTGTTCTTGATCGTGTTTCCCTCAGGGCATTTGCTACTGCTGCGGTTGAGAAAGGAAGCGAGCGAATTTCCATGTCCAAAACACGGCACGACGTATTTGTTCACGTGGTTCGCTGGCTTCCGGCTTGGGACGAAAGAAGGTTGCGGCGGAGGGGTCCTGGGTGGACGAAAATGAACGACAATTTCTAGAGTATGCCTGTGAGCGTGAGTATAGAAATCAATCCCTCCCTGGTCGGGACGGGTCGCGGGTAAGGCGTGGTTGGATCGGACGTCGTCCTACTTCGCGAGCGCGTCGTTGCATCTGCAGGCATGGGTTGCTGTTGTTGAAGATCCAAGCGATGAGGAGATGAGGGTTGGGGTGCGGGTGTACGAATGCGAGCGGGGTAGGGACGAAACGTGTCTGTGGGCACGCAAAGTCTGGAGCGCATGACTACTGTACACAGTAGTACTGCAGAACGTGGAGGAAGTATTTGGTATCATGGTCGATGTAGTAAGTGAATTGACCGTCCCTTTAACCACACGTAAGAGTACTCTATAGGTCTTAGTCTATGCATTACAGGGTACGGTTGACTATGTACAGAGGCTCCATCCAGATGATGTAAGTTCCCAGCGAGCAGAATGTAGAATACTGTGCATTGTTCGGAGATTAACACGAAGGTGAATGGGTACTGTAGGCACCGATTTTGTACATGAACGATGCGCTTGTCTCAACGCAAGAAGCTGTAGTCTACCATCATGCATTGCCTCCGCACACACTTTACGATGGGCCCGTTCGTCCGCCATAGATGCGAACAAACTCGGTTCATCCCTTTGGTGCGATAGGTCGTTGTTCAACGGGCATGTCTATATCCTGGGGCTGTTATTACAAGACGACTGATGCCCAAACCGTTACAATGAATGGCAACCAGACGATTTTTTTTTTTCTTAATATGACACAACGAAACCATCTCTATCATAGAAAAGAGTCTGAGACAGATTAGCAATGGATTCATAGCGTCAGAAAGTACCTGTATGTCTACGATTTCCCAGACAGCATATAGGGACATCTCCCCTGCGGGTAACAGGCTCAACAAGACAGTTTGGTAGCTGTCTTGTGTGTCTCATATATGTTACTGTATGTTGTTCGAAAATGAAGATGTTGAGCGTTTGCCGCATACCAGTGTTATTTTTTAGACATTAGTCACCCAGGTACATGCATTTGTTCGTATTTTTCGTCAAGGATGAGGGCTGCTGACACCCTGTGTGAAGAAGACCTTCCCTGGCATAATCGAATCCCTTGACAAAACCGGATTGCACACACCTCTTTGCCGGATCAAAGGCCCACTGGAAACCGGGGATATCTCCACCCTGTCCCCGGCTAGGTTGGCGCAGGCGTTTGGGTTCGAAAAAGGAGACACACCCGTGTAACTCTGTCCTCTGGCACTCTTCGATCCCGCCGCTTCACGGAACACGGAACAACTTGACTGCTGTTCTCTCGCTCTGTTCTCTACGCCAAGCGAGGGCCTGGAGCGTGCTCCTGCTGGGTGATGGCTCAGCAAGTGAGCATCCTCGATGGGGAGGTCAACCGGAACTGGCACCTCGTGGACAGCGGGGGGGAGAAGCACTTGCTGACGCTTTTTCACGACTGCATGACAGGGGCGAGAGCGGCCATGCTCGACTATGAGGCGAGTGTGGCGCATAGGCAGAGGAATAAGAGTTGCCCCCTTTTGTTGGTGTGGCAAAGGGGAGGTTCATCGGGAGGGAGGGAGGGAGGGAGGGACACCGCCTGGGCCGGTGGTCTTGGGATCTGCTGTTTCGGACAGCAGTGACAAACATACTCTGTTGTTCCGCACACCTCTCTTGCCTTGCAATGTAGCCTCTCGCCTCTCGTACTTTCAGAGGCGAGTTGCACCGACAGGCCAATCGTGGGACAAGAGGGTCACGCCACCGCCGCGTGAAGTGCTCGCAGTATGGATGCAACAATGATTGAACAGGGGTGGGCTTCTGCTGGAGTATTCTGGCGGGATGTTAGCGATGATGAACGAGTTACTTGGTATGATGCGCTGCAATGTCGAAACAGCCAAGAGACACGGCAGTTGCCGTGTGTTTACTAGAAGAGCACGGAGGCTGTGTGACCACGGTGTTGATTGCGGAGGGAGATCGACAACGTGCCTTGTACGGGGGGTGGGAAAGAGGTAGCACCAGCTATATGTGCCGTGTCCGGTAAAAAGAAACAGGTGGACCTGCAAACGGCCTCGAGTGCGTGTGTACGTGAGGGTAGTTGTCGGTGTCGGTACCGAACAGCAAAATGGGAGAGAGAGGACTATGTAGACTGCGGCGGTAGACTACGCACACAGGAGACTGCGCACCGAGTGCATACAAAGACCCCGAGGTGTACAGGCGATACAATAGCTGGTAGCAGCAGCAGCAGCAGCAGCCGGCTACGCTTGAAAGGGTTGATGCTGAAAGCCATGGACATGCGAAATGGTTCTTGGCCACCTGCTTCACTGCTCCTAGGCACGTCAGCAATTGCTTAGCAGAGTGCACACGTGTACTATTTTGCGAATCGTAGCATGGCCGAATGCGTGTTTCCTCCTTCTTACCACCTTTTTCGATGTGTGCACTTCGCTGCTCAACCTGCGTCTGTGCGTGACACACAAGAATAGCTACTCTAACCAAGACCGCAACGTTGGACTCTTTGATCTGCTATGTGGTATCGTTTATACCTGAAATCTGGAGCACAGCCTATCCTTCCCCATGACCCCCCCTCACGGGGCCCTACATCATGGAAGAAGCGTTTTCCGTTTTCAATCGCACCAAGACTGGCGCGACTTTTCATTGGTCAGCCGGTTAGCGCGGCCGACGCTAATATTGAGCACACACATACCTGCTGATCGCAAAAAAAAAAACGCGCAGGAAGTGCCTGGCTCTGCAGGGACTACGAACCTCTTCAACCTTGTCGCGGGGCGGGTGGACATCCCCTTCAGCATGAAGAAGAAAAGCCCAACGGCAGAGGACAACGGCCGCCTGAGCATCTTGAGGTGGGTCTCCTGCGCCGTTTTCGCCGCTCCTGTGTAAGCACCCTAGACCCACCCTGTCGCCAAACACAAATTCTACACGCGTGTTCCTCCAGCCCTAAATGACTCGCACGTGCCTAGTTGTCCTCATACCATCTCTCTCTGTTAGTAGGTTCCTGTTCTGGCGGGTGGAAGAGGCGCGTGGGGCCCGGTGTGTTGAGTACGATGGAGGCGAGACTCACATGCCTGGCATGGCCCTCACGCCATTCCTTGTATTCATCCTACTATACTCCAGTTGGTCTTTTTTCCAGTCCATTTTACGCTTCCTTGTGGGCGGGAATAAATACATTCCAAGTATATATTGTGTACATACGCCAACCAACGGTTCACACAAACCCTTGTGTTCGTTTCCGTCCTGGTGGGACCGTGATAATCTCGTGCGCGATGATCTGTTTCTTTTTTCGCTGTTGGTTTTCGTCGCCGTCGCCACTGGCTGGACCAAAAAACACACACATAAAAAAAACGCCACCAAACCTGCTTGCTTTGCTTGCGCGAGACAGGAGGGGGCTGACCGGGTTCTCGTACGAGTGCGAGGTGAACGGCAAGCTCGTGCTGGATACCACGTCCGTCGTGCAGGTGTGGTGGGTGCGGTGATGACGAGCTAGGAGCAGCTGTACTCCAATACAGAGTTGTTGTCCTTTTCTTTTCTTTTTTAGTTCGTTGAGGTTCACTGGGCTCCTTGATGAAAAAACATGTCAGCTGTGCGAGCTGTTTTGAGGTTGGGAACCGTCACACCGCAGCCGGCAGTCAGCTGTGGGTTTGTCCTGCTGCCTGCTTTTATTTTCCTCTGCGTCACCCCTTGATGGGACTGCTGTGCTCTCATCAGCCCACTCCGGAGGGATCACTTGATTGCACGATACTGTAGTTCTCTTGACACCCGTGGGGACCCCCCTCAGAAAGGGTACAATCTCCCCAAACAGCTGTGGGGGACGAGAACGATTACGATTCCCTCTTTTCATTCACATCGGCGTCGTCAAGAGTTTTTTTTGGTTTTGGTGGACGAGAACCCGGGCTCGAATCCCGCCGCCACCCTCCATATTTCCAAAAAGCGCAACACAAAAAAAATGGTGGGGGGCCAAGCAACAGGTTTTTGGACTTGTGGAACGACGCGGTGAACGTGCTGTAAGCGAAACCGTGTAATCGCGCGCAACAGGAGATTGTGAAGAAGTGAAACGTCCGGTCGGGTCAATCCGCCTTTAATAGGAGCAAAGAAAACGACGAGGAGTCCGACTCTTGAGTCAATCCCCTGCCGCCGGCCCTGCCCCCTTGTGGGGGATGAGAGGTAGAGGTGCTCCAGGAGGCACCACGAGGACGGAGCTCAACTCCCGGACGGGCTGATGGCTGTTTTCTCTCATGCCAAGCGACAGCACTAGGCCAGGAGGGAGGTGCTGCAGGTCGAGTGCAGAAGCACCATCAGGACGGGGCTCAACTCCCAGAACTGGCTCACGTCTGTCGTTTCTCCGGTCAACCGACAGCACTACAACAAGAGGGAGGTGCTACAGGTCGAGTGTCGACGGACGCTGGGGGCCGAGCCCAGCTGCCAAGAGCGCGGTCAAT